ATCAGCGGTTTCTAAATCGGCCTCTAAGTCTAGACAGCAGGCGATAGCAGTGACGATACCGCCAATGCAGATGGGACCACTAGTTCTATTTGAAACACTGACAAAATGGGTTAAGAGGAAAGGTGTGGGATTCACAAGGTTTTGGAGGAGAGCGCAATGGATAAGAATATATCTTTAGAGTTCACATTGCCTGGGTTCTCACGTCCAAATATGGTAGAAGCGAGGATACGGTGTAAGTATCGAATGGCTGGGTTATGGATAGTAGTGACCTTTAGGCCTTCCCATTTGGTGGTTGTGGTGTTGGTGATTTGGTATGTCCTCCTAGTCACTTTCTAGAGGTGCGAGGGTAGAAGATCCTTCATTGGCGGGAAAGCTAAAATATTTCACTACCTGCTCATGAGTTAACGAATAATCAGTATTAAACATTCTGAAGTGAATGGTACCGGTGGTGTGGGAAAGATCATGGACATATCTGAGTGAACTAAGAAACTCGTATGTAAGCCTAACGGAAGAAGCATTAAACATGGAACAGAAACGAGTCATACCGAGGTTTCTAAGCATCCAAGAGACGTTTTGGTAGAGACCCAAGGTGCGAAGAGTGTCTGGGTCAAGGTACCTTGTCGCATAGATGGGTCGCTTAGAGAGTCGGTGAAAGTTTGTGCGCATGGTGTTTCTGAGCACTCCTTCGGGGAACTCGATGCCCATATAATCGACCTCTTGGTTGGCTTCCATTTTGTTTGCTTGTTTGGGTTTCTAAGATGGGTGGAAGAATGTTAAATGGTTTTTGAGAGGGATGATGAAGAGGGTGAAGTTAATGGGTTTAAGTAAGGATTGAATAGAGAAGTTGGGTGGTTAGAAGTTAATGTGGGATAATGAGGAGGTTGTGGCTTGATTAATGTTGTATTGGGAATATGCAAGGGTGGTAAGAGTGGAAAAATGAAGAGGCAAAATGTATTTTTAAATTTTAAAACAGTTATGCCACCAAAATCAAACGGCGAGCATTGTTAAGCATATGGCGACCGCCATTTGCCTCAGGCATGGGCTTTTGGTTCTGGCTTGGTAGAATGTTGTTCTGCCTGCTCAATTTTGATGTTTTTCTTGTTTTCTCTTACACACAATGAAATGCTACACTAAAAGAAATTAAAAAAGGCTTTAGAAAACTAAAAACAAAAGTACTTAAAGAAAACTTGCATTAGGCGAAATTGAAGTACATTACAACTACGCGTTGGCATTCCAACGATATACAGTGGAATGGAAATTAGCAGTACAGACAATATGGGAATGGGAAACACTATACAGAGAGATAAACTACCCTAAGAAAAATAGGGAAAAAGTTGCATCTGGCAGTCATCCATGGTGTTGTGCAGTAGAATAGACCATATGGAACAAATGGTCCAACTCCTCATGGACAACATCCATAAGTCCAATGAAATCGATTCTGAGGGACGAAATCTCGCTCCGAATGAAATCTAATTCAGACTGGATGCAGTTATTAGCGGCAACTACATTGATAGTTGAATCAGCAGGATTAATCTCAGAACTTTGAGTGGCAGAGGCTGACATAATAGTATCACGGTTCTCGTAAGCTTGAGGAGAGTCAGGTGGAGTCAGAAACTCATGGGGGACCTCCAAGTCATAGAGCCAGTTATTCTTGTTGTGCACACTTGTTTTCTCATGGTTGGGCAGGGTAAAAGTATGAACTACATCATTATTAATAAGCAGTTCAAATTCAACAGGACCAAGATTTGCAATCATTTGCCAATTGAAACAAAAGTTAATGTCCATTAAACGGACGCCACCGAAAGCAAAGGAACAATTCAGATGATACCTCATTCCAATTGCATCAGCAATCATCGTTACCAACCCGCCTATTAAGATCGGGTGAGAAGAATCACGAGCAAGACGGCTAAAATTTGCAAGTAAGAATAGGCCAGCATTGACAAGTTTTCCTTGGGATGCACAAAGCATGATATACAACTCGTCCTTAGACACATAGGTGATGTTCTCTTCTTTGCCAAAGAAAGTGTGAGCAATAATCTTATGAAAATATCGCCATCCTGGGTTGTGGATGCTCTCAGAGAACATAACATCGGGTTCAGCATTACCGTTTCCAGATAAGGTACCCCAAAATTGTCTGAGATCAAAACTAGTAAAGGCATCAACATGAGTTTTGGTTATAGCATCGGACTCATTAGGGAAACCTAACAAGTCAGCAAATCCATGATGTGTGAACCTATACTTGTTTCTAAACAACCTGAAAATAGCCAGACCACGGCCAAAACCGAAACCACGGTTGGGGTTGAAGTAAAGAGATATGAGGAACTCCAAAGTCAGGTTACGGTAGGTGCTGAACTTCTTTTCTAAGGCAAAGTGGGTCCAACCTATTTGGCTCATAAGGTAAACAACGATGTTCTGGATACTAAGGGTTTGCATAGCAGAGTTGTCAAGGTAGATGGACAGACCAAAATCTCTTTGAGACAAAGCCTCAAATCGACGTCTCTGGACATCATTCCTGAAGATGAAGGTATGGTTCTCGAATGTCTGCATGGTCTCAGGTCAAAGGTATCCTAGAGAGGGTTATTCTGGAGATCAAAAGAAAATAATACACTATTAAAGAAATAATATTACTACGCGTTAGTACAATTAAGATATAGACACTAATGGTAAAATAATAATAGCAACAACATTGGAATGCATAAGAGATAAATTATATACTAATCATGCATACAATATCCTAAAACTAACAAAATAAATAGCAAGAACTAAAGGTCGTGGTTTAGCTCCCACGGAGCACTTTGTTTAATGTCGGAAGCTCGACATTAGATCTGAAAAAGGCGTCATTAGTCAGGAAGAGCGGGAGGCTCTTCCAACTTGGAGTATGTGCAGAATTCTTTGTTTTCTACTGAGTGGTATTGCTTGAGTCTTTGGCCATTCACGATGAACGTCTCATTCGACTTTTCTTTAATTTCAACTTTGCATAAAAATCTATTCTATCCAACTGACACAACATCTTCAAGTGATCAGACTCCATGTCCAAAAACCTTTCGTTTGTAAAGGAAATTTAAATATGTTTCAATTACATCTTTTATTTTGAAAAGTTTTTACTTTATCTATATATTTAATATACTATGATTCATGACCAGGATCGTCTTTGAGGGTGTACAAGATAACCCACAGTATAGGACCTTACACTTTTTCATAATTAAATTATGAAAAAAATAACCCTAATTCAAATATTTTTCAATTAATTTACAATTAAATAGAACCTCATAAAAATTTCATAACTTAATTAAAACTAATTTTAACTTTTTAAATATCATATCTCAAAATATTGAGACGGCTCTATTACCATGGCGATTATTTATCTACTTTAGTATTATATGATATACAAAAACATCAACGACATAAAACATCAACAACATGTTGATTCTATTGTATTCCATTAATAATATAATCGGTTGAGATCTCTATATTTACACGAATTTCAAGTAACTAATGGTTTCTTTTATGGAACTGAAATCTAAATTATGTATGAAGACTTTTATAGAGTCTCTTTATTCTTATTTTGACCATTTTTTTATTAATGTTTTCGATCATTGATTTTCTTTAAATTTGATTGATCTACGACGTTTCAAGTTGGTTGAAACTAATTTGTAATATTATATTATCCAACAAATATATTTATTTTTATCGGAGCATTTATATATATTAGTTACACCTTTTAGATTTGATTATTGATTTGTTAAGCTTTACAAATGAATTATATTTTAAACTTCTAGTTGACATTGTTTAGATTGAGGATTAAGATGAGATAGCGATGATGATCTCTTTTTTCAAATGGATGATATTTCTCTTCAAAATGTCAAAAAATTTGATCCATAAAATGACAATCAAAAACCTCATATGTGAATAAATCTCTAATTATTTGTTCAAGATATTCTACTATAGATAGAGGCTCATACCCAACTTATATTCCCTATTTTTTTTTAGGATCCATCTTAGTATCCTAGGTTGGAAAAATCAAAACATAAATCACACATCCAAAAATAATATTAGATGAAAAATATCAGGTTTTTGACAAAAAAAAACAATTTTAAAGGGGAATATTTATAATAATTTATCGTTCCGGGATGAATCAATGTTGCAACATGAAAAATTGCACACCCCAATCTTGGTCTTACAATTGATTTTATATGTTCAATATCAATTATAATGGATATACTTTAAATGCTTGAGAAGAAAACTCAACAACATAATCAGAAAAGTGAACTCTTATTCCAGCCATTAACATTGAGTTTGAGTTTTAAAATCTATTTACAACCAATGACTCTTGTTAGGAGGCAAAGTAGTCAGATCCCAAGTCTTACTGGCCAACAGGGATTATAGTTCAAATTGTATGGCATTATGCCAAATAGGATTGTGTAGAGTCATTATATGATGAAGGTTTTTAATGGGTGAATCATTAATAGAATAAAGCTTATGAGAAGTTGATAAGCAATCATAAATAACCAAATGAGATATAGGATAGAGAATACGAAATGTTTGTTCAATGTTAAAGAATCAATGATATTGTTACCTTGTATGAAATCATAGTGATAATCTTGTATGATGAGGGATAAGTGATATATGCCAAACAAACATTGAATCTCGGGAAAATATATGTCAAACAAACATTGATATTGGCATGGCTCTGTTTCTGTTAAAGTGGACTGTTGAAATTGAAGACTACATAGACTTGTTACAACTCCAATCAAGAAGGGAGAAACTGTTAAGCCATTCTAATTGGGAGCAAAAATTAATGTCCAAAAGTGTACTGATGATGCATCTCATCTCTTACATATTATCTGCAGCCAATAATACATGACATGACATGATGTCTTCAACCAATAATTTCAGCAAAGATCACAATGGAAACAGAAAAACTTGCTGTGTTTAGATTCTTATTTCCTCACAAGCAAAAGTACAGCTAACAAACACATTAAAGAATAACAACAAGAGCATCAAACAGAAATACCCAACGACTTCTTAAATTTCTCAACCTCCAAATATACTGTGGAATACGGAAGGAACTCATGGTAATGATCTCTGCTTAAATCATTAATTGCAACTGCAAGTTTAGGGATTTCTAAGGTTTCTTCGTGGGTCAAAGTCCTAACAAACTTGGCTGGATTACCTGCCCAAAGTTCACCTGATGGAATTACCCTTCCCGGTGGAACGACTGACCCAGCTTCAAGAATTGCATGCGTCTCCACCAAAGAACCTTCCATAAGGATGGAGTGCTGCCCAATAACGACTTCTGGCTCAATAGTGCAAGATCTCAACAGGCTATATGCTCCAATAGTCACATATCTCTCAATCGAAGTCTCAGCTGGAAGGCCTGTTTCGCAGAAGAATACATGCATAATAAATAAGCAATACAGTGATAAGTTATAATTAAGCATAGTCCACGTTCGTTTTTTAAGGATCTTAAGAGTGAATTTGGAAACTATAATGAAATTAAGTACAGTGAAGTGTAAACCACGGTAAAGAAGTATGCCAATCACCAACTCCATTCTAAATTAAACAACTCTATAATGAATATCTCTTTCTAATTTCCAATATTAATCTATATGCAAAAGACAAAATGTAGGAAACGATCGCTGCTGGAGATTGGCATACGACCTGGCAGGGGCCATTAAGGCTTTTATTTTCCTTACCCCGATGTGTCACCACATATATGATTTTCAGTAACACAGGGTTCTTTCACATCGCATTCATATTTACCCTTCTCCTCAGCAATGGAGGATTATGATATTCAATTAAGGTTGAGAAAATAATAAAGAAAAAAAATGTCAGCCAAAAAATGCAAACTTCAGGTAAGTCATGGTTCTTTCAGCATCTTATTCATTTTTAGATTTCTCCTTGACAATGGAGGATTTTTCTATTCAATTAAAGTGCAGAAAGTAACAAACAAAAAAAAGGTCAGAAGAAAGGCAAACTTAATCGGTCAATAATCACTAGTCATTAGTAAAAGTACTTCTTATGTACTAGGGAATGCTGGGTCAAATCTACCTATTCGTTAGTTTATGGATTTAGCCATTAGTACAATTAAATTAAAGTAAAAAAAAATACAGTTAAGACATGCTTAATGTTTAAAACAAAATTGGAGACATGAGATCTCGAGATGAAGTTACCTCATGCAAGTAAAACAAACCAATCACAATGATGCCAATTGCAGATAGCGGAAAAAAGAAATTTATTCAAATTCTACTATGCAACAATGCTGTAGTGCAGATGTAGCTTCAATTTGACAATATTTTGTACTAAATAGCAGAAAAATGGTTTGATCAAATATCCCTATGTTACAGTACTCTAGTGGCACGATGGCAGCTACTTAACAACACTGACCAATCAAAAGAGATCTGGTATCAAAAGAGAGCAGCCTCCCTTCTTTCTTCCCGCATTGCATAGGTACGGGTACATACCCAGTACCTGATATGGGTATCGGGTACTATTACAGAGTACGAGATTTTTTTTAAAACTAAGGTACGAATATGTTAGTATAATTTTTTTTAAATATAATTATAAAATAGAAAAAAAATTATATTATTTAAACAACAATAAAACATTAAATTAAAACAGTTTACTTAAAAAAAAGTTAATATCTGCGCAATAGTTTAAATAAATCACATTTAAAAAACATCCATAAATAATGAAATCATGGCTAAATAGCAATATTTTCCTCTCCAATATCATTAAATAGAGTAGCTTCTAGTTCAGATTCAATATCATTAAATAGAGTAGCTTCTAGTTCAGATTCTTCGAGAGTAGTATAGTAGTATAATATCTTTTCTCTATAAAGGTTGAAAGTTCCATTATGCAGAGAGATCAGTGAGAACAGTACCAACAACAGAGAGGCAGAGAAGAGAAGGGTTAAGACTTGGTTTCTCTTTCACTTTTTTTATTTATAAATAGAATAAATAATCTAATTCTTACGCAGAAAAAAATCCCAACTAAAAAGATCTGGAAATTTTTTTTTAAAAAAGTTGAATACATGGTACCAAATGTGTACCGGTTGGTGTACCAACTTAAAAAAATAAAATAAAAAATTGGTATTCGGTATGTACCGTACATGTACCGGTACCCAGTACGTACCCGATACCTATACTTTACTTAAAATAGAGTAAAATAGAGTATCTGTGATTCACACTTCTTCAACCCCAGTTTCTTCTTTTTCTTCATACACTAAAGAAGGGGATTGAATGGCCAATCTTTTTATCCAAAATCACCCCTCTAAATTCTTTTTCCTTTCCTTTTTATTCAAATAAGTGATTTCACATATATTTTTAGTTTTTTTCTTTATGATTTCATCGTCTTAGTGACATTATGTCGGTCGTTGTCTTATTGCAGTGTTTGTTCAGTTCAGATTAACAGATTAGTTTTAACTCAGTGCATATTCAATTCAACGCTGCAGACTCGGAGACATGGGTACTTCGAACATTTCAATTTCGTCATATTTGTAGGCTTTGTCACATTCGTAGGCATTTTGCCATTATATGCTATTAACGTGGATGTTTTGAGTTTGTTTGCAGATTCATCCTTTTTAGTTTATAGCAATTTTAAAATTATATTATTTGATGTATTTTATCAATTTGAATGAATGTCATTTTTAGTATAAAAATAAAAACAGCACTGACCAATCAGTGGCAGATCTCAAATCACTTTGTGAGTTTTTGAGACACAAAACCCACAACAAAACAGAGTGCTATGGTGTAAGACTGAACATAACATGAATGGCCAAAAAATAACATCACTCAACAAATTTACATTTCTTGAACAACACAGAAAATCAATATGACTTGAACTTTTGTTAACTTGTTACTAAAAGATATTGGGTAGTGACTTTGTAAAATGCAACCCATATCATCACAAAGTCAAGTAATCAGAACAAGCAAACATCTGACCAAACTCCAGCCCCACCTCTTCTCTCTTTAAAAAATGAATTAGTAATGTAGAAATAAATTGTTGGCTATCTACAAGTAGAACCTTTTAAAATAAATATTTTGATTAAGTGTTGATATGCAATAAAGGTAATCCAACTAAATTCACGATTTTGTGAAAATATTGGTAGAAAAAAAAACTATGCATCCATTGATGTATTGACTTCTGAAATTTTAATTTTAATTTTGCATGTGACAATTACACCAGTTGGACGGAGTTTATCTACAATGAGATTTGTGAAGAATGAGTGTCCAACCATATGAGACATAAGATGTAGAATAGTTATTTGAGCACGTGTAAAGTCTTTTTAACACTGCTTAAAACAAATTGATCATACAATAATTTCAAAATATAAAGACTTGTAGAAAGCAATTATAATTTATAGATGTCGAGATCAAGGTTGTCAAGAAAAGGATCCTAAATGAGATCGGGAGGGAATAGCAAGATCATAAAATATAAAATCGTAGTTAAAATTGAAAGATCCTACCCAATTATTTTTGAAAGATCGATAGAGGTAGCAAGATCGTAAAACATAATATCACAACATAAATCATAAGATCCTACTAAAATGAAAAATTAATACTATATATTTTAAGCATTTTTACATAATATATTTTACTATATTATGTAATAATCGCAACTGTATTAATAGGAAAGAGACTCTTTAATATTCTTTAGACGTATATGATTGAGTTTTCATACTTTATTACAACCACAAGAAACATTTGTTAGACATAAGGGACATATTTGGTAAAATTACTAGGTTTACCATAAGTCAATTATTTAAAACAAACCCTACAAGCGAAATGTTTATTCTCTAAACCCTAAATCTAAAATTTCATCCTTTCTGTTAAGAAATGTGGTTGGGCCTAACTCAACCCTACAAAACCGGTTGGTAGAGTGAGGATTGTCCCCACTTATAAACACATGTTCATGCCACATATTGTTCGATGCGAGACTCTAGACAATTTCAAAAGGCATGCATTCATCGTTGTCGAACCGTAATTGTTATGCTTTTGTATCTTATCATCCTTCTCGGCTTTCAAAAGGCATGCAATTGCAATTTTTTCTCAATTTGGTTATAACACACAATTCTATTTTAAGATCTAGATCGAGATCTTCACAACCATGGTTAAGATGTTTTTAAGTTTTTTGGGTATATAATTGTATAGTTTTTGTAATCTCTAATATTTTGCTTAACAATTGATATCATTCTTTTAAAATTTATGTATTGGTGTACTTTTAACATAAAAATTTACAGGACATGATATTTGACCCCACTGGTCAAAATAGCAGAATCTGTCCCTATGTTGTTAAACTCAGACACAGAGTGCCGGACTCCAAAACTTCTATTGCGGTATAGCATGTAGCCGCTATTGCGAAGACTAAAAAAGTATAAAAAACTAAACTTCTATTGCGGTATAGCATGTAGCCGCTATTGCGAAGACTAAAAAAAGTATAAAAAACTAAACATATATGTTCAAAAATAGGAAAGTACACAATTTAAAGGGGTAATCATACTTAAAAATTATAATTGACTTTGTTAATTTTTCACTGACATAAACAACCACAAAACCCTCAGTGAAAGAAAACCAATATAACTTAACTACCAATTGAGTAAAAGAAAAACTAACCCATAGAAGAAAACCTAACTCCTTGTACTTCAATTAGAAATCAAATATGGTGTCAATGTTGAGTATTTTGCATAGGGAAGAGGAAAAGAACTGATGAAAGGAAACCAGAAGAGCATATGAGAACAGTGAGTTTCGCAAAAGCATAAAAGTAGAAGAAGAGTGGGATTCACTCGCAAAACAACAGAAAAAGGAGAAACATATGACACTAAAGCAGAAAGACATGGACAAAAAAATCCCTAGAATGTTACAGATGCTGAAGGCAACTGTTGCTGCCACAGATAGTCGTCGCTGAAAAAGCTGTCATTGTCTCCAGACACGAAGAGAGGAGAGGTGTTTGGTTGTGTGTTTCATCACACCGGTTCATCTTCTCACTTGAAACGGGTGTGTGTTTTGGCTTGAAAGAGAGTGGGAAGAATAATTGTGTTTAACATAATATTGCAAAATGACCAAACAACCTCTTAAAAAACTTTAAACAGCCAGGCATTGCAAACCATAATACAGATGCGGCTGCAAAATGCCTTCTCTCCCACAATTTTTTCACGATTAAAAGCCGCTTTCACTGCTACTGTTGGTTGCAAGTAGCAGTGATATTGCATTGCCATAAACCCCTGAACTGCTACACAAAACTTCTATAGTGCGTAACCACGGCGCTATTGAGAACATAGATCTGTCCCTCTTCTTAGCATGAAGAGATAATTTACTGTAAAACCAATATCATAGCATAAACTAGTCTATCCAACGAGAATGTATCACGAGTATATGCTTAATAATAAATGTTCATTTAGAGGATCGGCAAAACAGTAAACACCAAGAACTTCTAGATATTTGAAAAATAATTAAACTTAAATTTTGTATCCTAAATAGCAATAACAAAAGAAAATAGATGAAATTGCAATTAATTAAGTCTATTTAGTTCATACCAGAAAGAAAGTAACCTATTTGAATAATAACTAAACTTAAGTTATGTATTCTCAATAGCAATAACAAAAGAAAATAGATGAAAGTGCAACAAAGTATTAAGTCTATTTCGTTCATGCCAGAGAGTAACCTGGACTCAAATTTATCAATGCAGAGCCGAGGTCAGTCACTTCGTTAATAAGAACTTTAAAGAAAAGCATTAGAACCTGTTCTGGGCCGGCCGAAAGGTCCAATAAGTAAAGCCCAGTGGCGAGATAAGTGATTGTCATGGGAAGAGTACGCAACTTCATTTTTCCCTCCATTTACAGAATTTCCCACACAAAATCACCATGATGGTCTCCCAGAACCAATCCAACAGTTAGCCGCATCCTACGCGCATGCAATTGCCAACCATCTATCCTAATTAAAGGAGAACACGCGCCACTCTCCATGTATGATTCATTCCCATTCAAATTCCATTTTCCACTCTCTTCCTGACTTGAGTGTTGGAGTGCTAACCTAGCAGGTCAGCCCCCATTCCACTGCATCGGAAATCCTAAACCGCCGCAACTCACCGTGAATTCAGCTTCTCCTATCTTCATACAGTTCCAAAGCAAAACAGAACCATAATACTCTATTTGGATAAACAATTTAATTAATTGCTTATAGCGTTTATCACCTAAGTTTTTATGTATAAGTTATTTCTATAACAAAATAGCTTATAAACATCTCAAACCATTTCCATAAGCTCTCATAAGGAGTATCCCCATGTGTTTATATCACGAGTTACCCTCAAATAAGTCAATGCAAACTACCCTAAACCAAATATATCTATTTTTTTCTCTTAAGTTAAACAATTTGGTATTCAAAACTTAGTGCATAATCAGCTCTAAGATACTACATTTGATAAGTTGCTAATTACCTGATACTATAATCTATGACAGGACGGAAACGAGTAATTTGCTAAATCCACAATTTTCCTAAAATATAAACGAAATTTTCCCTTTGATTATTCTCACAATTCTCATCAACCAAACAAAACAAACGAATAAGAATCAAATTGAAACAAAACCTAACCTGTGGGAGAAGACCAAGCCGCGTGAAGAACACTCCGTTCCTGAACATTGGAGCAAAACCCGATGCTGATCTTGTTAAGATCGCCACGGAGGACACAACCCGGCCAAACGGAAGCTCCGTCCCAGACATGAACCTGACCGGCGAGAACCACATTAGGTGCCACATAAGCATCGACGGCAATCTTCGGAAGCCACTGTCCCAATGGAATTATCTTCCTCTGTCCTCTGTAGTCCCATTTCACCCGATCCGGCGAAGGAGTAATCAATTTCGCTGCCTCCGTCGCGAAAGCGCGCTCCGCTGATGGTAGTTGCGATTGCACGTGGTGCTTTGTTATGGCGTATGCGGTTCTTAGGGCTTTGTTAGAAAAACGTGCTAGATTCGCCATGAGAGAGAGCGAGTTGTGACCTGTGAAAGTGGAGCTGGGAAATGGAAGTGTGGAAGTATGGGAGAAAAATACGTTTGTGGGCTTCACAAAAAAAAAAATAGTAATTCTAAGGTCCATAATTGGCCCGGACCAATACAGCTTCCTAAAGAACTAGATATTAGAGATTTTCTCTTGGCAGCCCTAAACTTTTATCTAGCACCCCCCAGAATTTTTTATTTATTATAATACCCTTTGGTTAGAAAAAGTAAAAATCACATATCATTTGTCAATGTTTGCAATTTTGACTAAACCGGTTTGATTTATCGAAATTTCCAAGTCTTCTATCAGATTTTTACAAATAAATCCGTTTTTTACGTTAATATTTTGAAATTTTATCAAAAATTTAAGATGTATATCACATTTATAGGAAAATCATGAATTTGTATAGAAATTTTTTAAATGTCTGATAAAACATCTATGAAACAGAGCTTCTCATCTTCGCGAACTTTCTTTAACTCCGTAGAAATACTAAAGTCTCTAACAATCTTTATTAGTTAATGATTGCTATGCATATGTACTTTTTTTTAGTAAGTACATTTTTTTAAATGTAATATCCTACCGGTAAGTATGATTGAATTAAATTGATGTTGTAATATTGCTTTTACTTGTATAAGGCATATACATTTGATCCTGAGTCAAGTGCTCCAGAATTTGTGCTAACTTATGAGGTATTTTCTCGAAGTTTATTGGACATCTGTGGGGTCCTGCCAAACCAAGGATCGATGCCCTTTACCCCTAAATGAAAACATGGTCCAAGGTTGACGTGTGACTGACCCACAACGGTCTTTAAAGAGGCTAGCTACCAAGAGGGATGGGTTGTTATTGTCGATTTAGTAGTTTTATCATTTTCTTTGTATGCTTTGTATTGTGGGATTTTGATTGCTTTTGTCATATGCATGTGACATTTGTGACAATTGATAACACCTCTGAGTCTTTGTGTTAGGACTTCAATCCCTTCGGTCGTACCTGATAACCACGAACCATATCACACTTCTGACTCGATGCACGTGTCATTTTAGCTTATTTTATCTCTTTTTTATAGTGTTATGCTGATATATTATGTATGTTTCAGATATTTTCCAAAGAGAAGCATTCGTGCGAGAAATCGAGACGAAAACGGTGAAGAATGGAGAAAATACCAAGTTTCTACACTCATGATGTTCGCCATGGTATTTACCATGACAATGCAGTCAAGGTGCCACATGAGTATCAAGGAAAAAAGAAAAAGGACCAAGTTTCAGAGGTCATAGCGTTTGCCATGAGGCCGTGGTGTTCGCCATGGACCTTGAAGACCGCGTCTTACCAATTTTGAGCTCATGGCGTTCGTCATAAGGCCATGGCGTTTGCCGTGGGCTTTGAGGCCAAAAAAATAGCAACAAACTGACCCAGTCCACTCCCACTCATAATTCTCTCACTTCTTTTACACGATTTCAAACGTTTTTCATCCGTCTTTAACTTTATAAATAGGCTGAAGTCTTAGTTTTTCATTTTCGAAGTTTTTAGATTATAATTTTAAATAAAAAAAACTCACTATTGTAAAAGTCGTTGTTCTCACATTGAGGAACTGTTCTGCTCTTGCATCAGATTTTAGAGAGTTTTTGTGTATTTAAATCATTCGCACGGTAAGCTTACTGAAATCTTTTTTTTTTAATTTTAATTTCAGAATTATTTCGTTCCATTTTTATTGTATGTTTAAATTTATTTACAAGTTTTTTATTTCTATTTTTATTTTAAGTCATTATTGTTGTTGTTATTGCTATTCATTATTCTTATTTACTGCATTGTCTTTGTTTCGTATACTTATATATATATATATATATATATATATATATATATATATATATATATATATATATATATATATATATATATATATATATATATATATATATATATATATATATATATATATATATATATATATATATATATATATATATATATATATATATATATATATATATATATATATATATATATATATATATACCAATTGCTAAACCTAATATAAAATATAAAAGATTTAGTGTGACAATATTAAATATAAAAGATTTATTGCACTTGTAATTCTATCAATAATATAAAACACAATTTAAAAAAACCTTTCCTTCAAGATAATCATGAACCCGAAGTCAAATCAATTCCCTTTTCTCATTTTTTAAAAATCAATTATTTGTCCAAAACCTCCTACTTCGAAAAGAGATTAACTACTTTGATGGTAGGTAACTTTGGTGATTTTAATATATTAAAATGATAAATTGAATGAATAAATTATATTATTTAAGTGAGAGAAAACAATTTATTAATGAAAGAAAGAGAAAAAGGTAACAAAGACACTGAATCTCAAAGGTAGTCAATTCGGGTTTGGCTTACATGACTTTAGAGCGGGAAAGACACCGTGTCTTTCCTTTAATCATGTCCATTAGATTAATCCAAAATACATATTATATTATATATATTATAATATTATTTTTCAATCTAAAGCTTTTACCATGTATCTGGAGAAACATTTCACATTTGAAGTGAAAACAGAGCAACATTGTCTTCATTCATGCTTCTTCCTTCCTTGTCGGACTTGAATCATGTGCCGCAATCACACCGTGATTGGATAATCATCGTCGCCGACCTTCCACTCACCTTAAATCTTCAGTTTGTGGTGGGTTTTTTCTTCTATATGCATAAAATATTTTCTTTTACAAAATTATAAAACTTGTGTCTTTGATTTGAACTATGAATTTAAGGGAGAAATTAGATTACGGATTTGGGAAGTTTCCTTGTCTATGGACAGTTTGGTGTTTCTCTTTGATTGATATTTTTAGGTTATGAATTTTTTAACTAAATTTTAACATTTTAAATAAACTACAGTATCCTCTGATATGGTTCTTATCAAATGAAGTTTGTGAATTCTATATTTTTTGGTAAAAAAAATATAATAAAATAAAAGTAATTTCATGTGTTGTTTGGTTAACACAGTTTGAGTTCATATTGTTATCAATAAAAAATATACATTTTTGTTTAAAGAGTTGTTCTTCTAATAATATGTAATGGAAATTAACATATTTCATTCATTTTATTTTTTTACTCACTTATCAGGTTTCTTCATTTTACTTGGATAGTTTGATCAAATATGACATCTTTAAATATTGATTAGAAGCTAATAGTTGGAACAGAATTTAACAATGTAGATAAAACTTATCAATTTTAGCTTGCTTATAGTGCACTTGTTGTCTTCAGAGTTAGAAAGCGTTATGCAAACAAAAATGAAGATGACACTATATCATCATGTAGGTTTGTTTGTTCTAAGAAAGGATTAAAAAAATAAACAAAACAAACGTCTTTGCTAGCAATCAAATAGTCGAGACTATAACAGATTTCAAAGGAAGAATTTCACTTGGATGTCATAATGAAAAGTTTGTCATTAATGAATTTGTAGAGGACCACAATCATGCTCTACAACCTCCAGAAACAACACACATGCTTGCATCACGTAGAAATATAACTTAAGTACAAGCTTATAAGATTGATTTGGATGATGATTCAGAATTGAGGCAAAAACCAATGTTTCAATTTATGAGTACATGTGTAGGGCATATAGCTAATTTTGGATTCACACGAGTGGATGTAAAAAATTACCTAAATGCAAAAAGGAAGAGAAGTATTGTGTGCAGCAAAGCTGGTTGTCTTTCACAATATTTCAACGCTAATTATTGGAGAGTCATTCTTTCTTTCATGCATATCAGATGGATATAGAAGAATAAACCACAAACTTGTTTTGGTGTGATGCAAATATGATTTTAGATTACGCATATTTTGGTGATATTATGTCATTTGACACTATATATTGTACCAACCATGCAAATAGACCACTTGCTTTGTTTTTTGGTTTCAACCACTATAGGGGTTCGGTCATTTTTTATGCAATGTTATTGTATGATGATACAATTGAGTCATTTAAATGGTTAGTTGATACATTTTTATAAGCACACAACAACAACAAAAACAAAGACTATCTTCACTGACCAAGATCAAACAATGGCTAAGGCACTTGCTGAAGTGATGACTGAGACTCACCGTGGTGTATGCACTTGGCACTTGTCACAAAATGGGATTAAACACCTTGGAAACTTGATGAGAAGAGGAATTTATTTTTTAAGAGATTTCAAAAAAGTTCATGTATGATTATGATATTGAAAAACATTTTGAAACAATTTGGATAGACTTGATCAATGAGTATAATGTTTATGATAATAATTGGATCAAATCAGTTTATGCTATTAAAAAATGGGCTTCATGTTATATTGAAACAACAAAAATTTGAACGATCACTTTAAATCTTGTATGAAATCGAATGTGAATATCATACAAATTTTCAAGCATTTTGAAAAAGTTGTTGAGGAGAAGAGAGGAGACTAATGGAGTTATGAGTATGAATCCTCACATAAGCTTCCAAGGGTAATATATGAATTGTCACCAATATTAATACAAACGGAAAAAGTATACACACATACGTTATTTGAGCTATTTAAAAATGAATTCAAGTTATTTTTAGCTTTATCAATATTAGAGAGAAATGAGTCTCACTCTTTGTGTGAATGTCATTATTAAGACAACTATGGAAAATCTTGGAGAGTTTCATTTGATCGTGCTTCAACTTGTATTGTATTACTTGTAGTTGTAGAAAGTTTGAGACATTTGGCATACTTTATTCACATGCATTAAAAGTGCTTGAATCAAATGATAAAAAGTCATTCTTGAAAAGTATATTTTAAGAAGGTGGACAAAAGAAGCCCGATGTGGCATTGTTCATGACTTTAGGGGAAAATAGGTTAAAGGTAATCTAAAGTTATCTAGAACACGAAAATTTAGACAAGATGTCTCTAAATTTATAAAGGTGGTGGTCGATGCATCGCCTTATAAAGAGGACCTCAAGATTGTTGAGATTGTAATTCCTTGTGTCGAAG